TTTCTTATAAATTATATATTTCAGTTGAAATTTATGAAAAAAAAAAATCATTTTTCTTGAAAAAAGTTTCTCAACTTCATTGTTATCACATTTTCAAGAATTGATGGGAGCTTCTTTATTAAACCTTTATTTCAAATAATGTGCAATGTCTGTCATTATTTTCTTTCGATTTACATGTTCTATATATTTTAGTTGTCGCAGAAGTATGATCCTCGCTAAGATTTAAAAGTTTCATTCTCTCGAGGCCATTTTTACCTTTAATCCGAGAAATAAAGTTGTTTAGTTGTTTCGAGAAAGAACGCAACAAACACGAAATCAAACGAAGAAAGAAAGAATAAAATCTCGAAAAAATTATAGGTGAATTTTTGAAAAATGGATTCGAGTGGAAATTGTTGGTATTTGCCTAAGCAAAACAATAGTATATGTATAAATCTGAAATTTGTTTCAAAGAATAACAAAGGCAAATTCTATGGGAATCCCTCAATCCAAATGCCATTATATGTTGTCATCTTAAATACAGAAAAGATGATATGTCATAAAGAGGAATCAGTCGTCTCAATAAACAACAAATTGAACCTAAAATAGTGAAAAGCATAAAGTGTATCTCAAGAATACTCAAGACCTGTACAAATTGAAGGCATCCAGGAAACTGCTTGAAACGATATAGGAAAACATTTCAAAAAGTTAAAAATTTAGTAAATTTGAGTAAGAATTAATCGCCAGATGCCAGCCTTGTTAATTTCAGCAAAAATACTGAAGCGACTCACTTCCAATGACCGACATTAAGCGAGTAACAACTTAACGTATATTATGAAAAGGATTTGCTGTCGACAATGTAATCAAATGTTATCGGCATCAACTAGAAACTATCACACATAAGAGAAAATTCCATATAAACCATATTATCCACGGAAAAAAAATTATATCTAATGGTTGTAAACAAGGTAAAAAAAAATATACCTTTTAAATGGTACACGTGTCTGTACAATTGGGTTACAAAGTGAAAGCGAAAGGAAGCGAAAAAATGAAAAATAATATCACTTCACCAAGAAACTGAGAAAACATCTGTCCATTATAAATGATTCACTTAGAATGGCGTCAAAAACATTAGAATCGATACTGGATTAATTAGAAATCTAAAGATGAATTGAGATTGTTTAGACCACAAAGATCTTGATGTGTACGGGGATGCTAACAAAGACAAAGGGCACTGGAGACACTCTATCAATCTCAATGTGTGTTAACCCGCTAGACTTTCATGTGGAATAGAAAGAAGGAATGAAGATATAAGCAATGAAAAGAAATGAGAAAGAAAAGCATAGAAAGAAATTGAAAAAGAAAAATGTAAAGAAAAGCCAAAAAAAAAAAAAAAAATTAAAAAGGAAAGTACGGAGAGAAAGAAAAAAGGAACAACAGTACAAGAGCAATAACGACAAGGAAAAGATATGAAGAAAAAAAATGAAAAAAAATGAAAGAGAAATCTATTTACATTATTCGGACTATTGTCCTCATCTTTGTTGTCATATTTATTACAACGTTCCCAAAAAAAGAAAGAAATGACAACATATTGCGAGAAATCTGCCTCGTCAGTCATGTGTTGAAAGATACATGATCGCCTAAGCGTGTATCACACATGGCACCGATTTACACTCCGATATTCGGCTGACGGCCATATGATGTTGAACCTCATTTTTTTCTATTTTTTAATGGATGCCAGTTGTCATCTATTAATTTCCCTTTTCAAGTTCTCCACTGTCTTAACCGGGTATTGAACTCACACACTTTGGGTCCTGTCATTGGATCTAACTAACGCATTTATCCACTGTGTCCTTGAGGACATCTGTGTATGGATTTCTGGGAATTATAAACCTAATGTCTGCCATTTTTACCTGTACTTATATTGCAATTTCTGAAGAAGGCCGGAGCGTACAACGGCCGAAACGTTGTACTAAATATGGCGACAAAGATGAGGACAATAGTCCGAATAATGTAAATAGTGTACATAATACCTCATCTCAGAAATATAGACAGATACCTAATGAAAGAGAAAAAAAGGATGTGCAGGTGATGTAACGATTGTTGTCGTGGAAGATGGAATAGCAAGCTGAGGTCAAATTTTGCTGAGTCTGTTGCATTCATTTGGCGCCAAACTCTGGTTGGTTAAACGACAAAATAAACCGGACCCCCACCTAAGCCTTGTTTGGCAACCAGTCTTGCTGAACGAAATCTCTAAATTCAAAATTTTGAACAAAAGAACGGGAATTCATCGCACTATCATCCTTAAGAAAAGCCATGGTAATGTCCAGTTTACACATTAGTAAAAAGAAACGGAGCCTGAGAAGAACCATGCTTTCATGGTATTTTAACATCAAAGAAGAATATTTGTCTGATGATCTGCATTAGTAAATAACTCTTTTATTCTTAACAGCGAAAATTTCATCGCTTGCAACATAATCACATTTTACGTGTTATTACTGTTGGGCAATGATGATTATGGCAGCTGACTCAGTAACTGCTTCGACAATTTTCTTCAGGGTGTGTGCTTTCATAGCTCTTCACAATGTTTGTATGTCTTTGAAATATATGATTTTTACGGAGAGCTGAGTTCGAATTTCCCTAATTTATTCAAAATAATTATTCCTAGAATCCAAAATATGTTTCGATTTTAAATAACCTAAAAAGGGTTGATAAACCGTAAAAAGAAATCAACTCGAATCCATTTTTTCCCATCCATTTCCACAATTTTATTAGGTAGATTACTGTTTTTTCCCGTCTGTTCCATTGCCCATAAGTTAAGTATGTTCTATGTGTCAAATTTTTTATGTCATGTTTTCTCATCTCACTCTTGTCCCAGAAATCGATAAATTTTGTTTCCATAATTATTCTAATATCAAGAAAACGTTTTCTTTTTTTTTTTTATATACAATTGATCCATAATAAATGATCAAGGCAAAGAATATTAAGCCCCGATTTGGATACATATCGGTGCCATCGACTTGCTCGGAATCTTTATGTATTTTCTTATTTGTTTTTTTATTTTATATATATAATTGTCTTATGGAGGCACGATGGCGTATTGGATACTGGCTCGGATTGAGGAATCGGAGAGCCAAGTTCGAATTACAGTCAAAACCATTACATTCACTTATGTTAGGGAAAAGTATTAATCCTCTTCTTCCAGCTATGGGGAAATAACAGGACAGTCTGGGTCCTAAAACTCTGAATTCAAAACCTGCGGAGGGTCGTTTGGGGACCTTGTGGTGCATCAGGTCTCTGTATTCGGTACTTCAAAAAGTATAGTTGGTTCTGCACAAAGCCTTTACCACTATAATCAAATCATATATGCTGGTGTCTGTTTGTCGGTTCCTAGGAACTGACCTACTTGACCCTCATACGACGGGAGAGAGTCTGCTTTGCTTCCCTCTCTAGCTTTGCTTCTCTCTCTAGCTTTGCTTCTCTCTCTCTAGCTTTGCTTCTCTCTCTAGCTTTGCTTCCCTCTCTCTAGCTTTGCTTCTCTCTCTAGCTTCTTCTCTCTCTCTCTAGCTTTGCTTCTCTCTTGCTTCTCTCTCTGGCTTTGCTTCTCTCTCTCTAGCTTTTAGCTCTCTCTAGCTTTGATTCTCTCTCTCTCTAACTTTGCTTCTCTCTCTTGCTTCTCTCTCTAGCTTTGCTTCTCTCTCTCACTTTGCTTCTCTCTCTCTCTAGCTTTGCTTCTCTCTCTTGCTTCTCTCTCTAGCTTTGCTTCTCTCTCTCTAGCTTTGCTTCTCTCTCTAGCTTTGCTTCTCTCTCTCTCTAGCTTTGCTTCTCTCTCTTGCTTCTCTCTCTAGCTTTGCTTCTCTCTCTCTAGCTTTGCTTCTCTCTCTAGCTTTGCTTCCCTCTCTCTAGCTTTGCTTCTCTCTAGCTTTTTCTCTCTCTCTCTTTTGCTTCTCTCTTGCTTCTCTCTCTAGCTTTGCTTCTCTCTCTCTAGCTTTGCTTCTCTCTCTAGCTTTGCTTCCCTCTCTCTAGCTTTGCTTCTCTCTCTAGCTTTGCTTCCCTCTCTCTCTAGCTTTGCTTCTCTCTCTTGCTTCTCTCTCTAGCTTTGCTTCTCTCTCTCTAGCTTTGCTTCTCTCTCTAGCTTTGCTTCTTTGGTTAAATCATTCTTGCGGTCTCTCAATATTTTACATTCCTTCTCTTTCTTTCGTTTCATTCTTTTTTTTCTTATTTAACGGTTATCATTCTCTCTATTTTGTCCATTCTTTCTATTACTTAGTTTCTGTTTCCTTTTTCTAGCTTTTTCTCCTTTGATTTCTCTTCATAATCTTTGGCTGTAATATCTGTTGTTCGTTTACTTTTCTTTTTGCTTGTAAATCTTTATTAATTTTTATGCGATCTTTATTTTAACAAGATTAAAGACTATATACTAGAATTTTCTGTATTCTGTAAATTTTCCTATTCTATCTCTACTTCTTCTCTCCATCATATTATTTCTTCTTTACCAGGAACAATTGAATAAAGGGAATTATATCTAATCCGATAGAAGAAAAGAATGCGGAAAAATACGCAGATATGATGTATTATTGCATTAATAACATTGCAGTTCGTGTTTTTTTTTAATAAGTCAATGGTTCAGCTTTGAAAATTAACAAAACAAAAAAAATCTACAAATTCTTGAAGCTAAATATTTTTGTAAGAGAATTTTCAAGGCATAGATCGTAGTATTATTTATTGCTCTTCTCTTTATTGCTAGTCCGTCTGTCTGTAATTTAAAATATTTAAATTTAAAATACTACTTGGATAGGTGAAATTTTTCCTTTTAAAGAACGGAAGAAAAAAATTATATTATTTACATTTTCAGATATTTATGTATTGATATAAACTTCATAAAAAATAGGGAGTTCTTAATTTTGAAAAAAAAAATCATGAAAAAATAATATTCCATACGAAGAAAAACATTTCCCGTTTGCAAAAGCTGGCAGAGATACAACATTCTTTTTTGAAATCTCAGCTGGTGTCTTATAGGGAGA